TTGAGCAATTGAACCACTCACACTGTATCAGATCCATCTTTATGAGCAATCAAACCCCTTCCATGACAAGCAAGGCAGTCGGTCATCTGATTTTCTTTATAATATCCAGGTTCTTGGTCTGCATTACATACAGAGCAGACAATACTACCCCGTCCTTCACAAGCTGCAAGTATTTTCCACGATTTTGTAAAAACAGACAAAAAGAAAATGTTAGAAACTAAATACGCTTTCAATTGTGAAAACTGAAGAGCAAATCCAGAATCCTAACCAGTGCATTTCTCAATAACTTCAGAATGAGGAATCTTTTCCCGCACTTCTTTGTATGCCACAAACAGAACAGGAAACTGAGACCTTAAATCCAATTCCCATACACCAAGTTCAGGCCCACTATGCTTTCCATCTATGCTGCCACCAGTGTATAGCTCAGTCTCTTTTATGGTCTCTCTTTCCTCAGTAAAAGTATCTAAAGTGCCCACATAAACATTGCAGTCTTCCACAGAATGAATTTTCCATGTTCGAGCAGGACGGCTACCCCAACAATAGCGGTGACCAACATAATCAATAAGCAATCCTCGGATCTCTACTTCATCCAAGACTCCCCTAAAATTAGATAATTTATTTTAACAAGATTGCGTGTCAACAATGAAATGTTATGCTAAAACAGACATAGATATTATGATGATTTACCAATATATATTTATATACAGCTTTGATAACAAAAACATTCTAGTAATCCAATGATCCCAAGACATGATTAAACAGTGAAATCCACTAATGTCTTTCTCACATAAGTCAAACCCATGTGATATTTCATATAAACAATGGCCCCATTTATAAGTTGCCTCAACCTCTAAAATTAGATTATTTTTACACAATTTACTAAACCTAAGCAGATTAGTTCCTCCACGCTGCATACATGACAAATTATCACTTGCTCGTGATTCTATGGGTAGTGCATAATATGAAAGTACGTACAGCCAAACCAAAATCATTGATTTCACAATTTCAAGCAGCCAAGATAATTCGGTTCTTTGGAGACCAGCATCTAACTGAATCAATCAAACCAAGTGTCAGTCTACCCCTTATTTCCTGATATCAATCTAGCCACCTTATCCAGATATCACTGAGTTTATTATGGAACTCATTTAACCCTTTTATGATTTTATCAAAATTCAAAAACACAAAACCCTATCTATACTTCTTTTAGCCTTGAGTTAAACCACTCAAAAACACAAAACCCGATCAAATCTTGGTCTACAGTATAGATTCTGCAACGCGCAATAACAGCAATACTTTTTCCCTTTTTTTCTTAAATAAATGAACTCTGCAGTGTTTGGCCATCTTTCTGCGTCACTATTGGAAACAATGATCACAAAGAATATTCCTTGACAATGCATTCCATTTACTGAGATGATGTTGATTGGATTTCCTATGGCATGTCGAACTTCAGAACGAATTGTAATTACCACTGAAAAATCAACATCCGAACTATACTGCTTCAAGAGTTAAACCATTAGTGCGTTTCATCAACAATTTGTAAATAAGCATTTTATTGATCCATGGTTTACATCATATTTTTATCATATGATTTTAATTTCAGCAGTTATAGAGAGAAATCAAGAATACAATCATGACTTCAATTCTTTTTTGGGAGCAAATGCACAAAATTATAAAGCTTGATATACAAACTAATCTTAACAGGAACACTCATAGAGGTGGGGATATGTTTACAGTTCCCACATCAGTCATACCTCTGGTATTCCGCCCTGCTTCCACCGTAATCTCCTGCATATCCTCCTTGGGGAACAATAGCTTGCTCTGCAACGTAGCGTTGTATTTAACATCCAGGCAATCCTTAAATAAACTTAAAGCAAGAAAACTTAAAAAGTTGTAGTCCATCTTTGCCTTATAATTACAGCAGATGTTGGGCAAGAAAAATAAACGTTCACATGTTTCTACAAGGATTGTTAATTTGAAACCGATAATTGCTCCTATCTTCACCCTATTTAAGGGGAAAAAAACCGTGACCCAGGACATCCATGAAAATCAGAAGAATTGACACCAGACACCCGTATCTGACATGAATGTTGTGAAACTTCAAATTAACAGGATCTTGTTGTGTCAATATGTGGTACTTTGGACCTTAAATTCATAAAACTAAACGCAATTCAAATGAATATTGGAAGTAACAAGACCACCCACCTGGAGGATAGGGCTCAGGCGAGCTAACCAAAGCGCCATGAATGGAGGGCGGATAGTAATTGGAAGAAGCAGCGGCAGCAGAGCGAATTTCATCGACACTCACCTCAGTGCCGGCCAATGATGAAGCAGTAGGAATCACAGAACCCGTTCTTCCCGCATACTGATACGCGCTCCACTTTCCGCTCTCTCTGTCGGACGATTGACTTCTTGTTTCTGTCAAATCCGATCACAACCAAAAGAACCCAAAATGAAGAACACGAGAAACATTGAAAATCATCAATTAAAATTGAAACTTGCCGGCATTAATTTTATACCCGATAACAGAGGCTGCTCCATATTGATAATGATCAGCTCTGCGAGAAATTAGACACAGCGATTATTGGGTACGAAACATTTTTATCTAAGGTATTTGCCTTTGCCACTAAGGAAGTTGAATTGCCGATAAGTCAAATAGAGATATATAATCTGCCCTGTCTCCTGCAACCGAACGGTCTAAACCAAACCAAATATTAACATGTAAGGAGGAGTGGGGTCCGCGATATTAAAAACGCGGGTTCTTGTCCTTAGCTAAAACGAAGAAACCGAAAACCGCACAAAGCTGGAGAACCGCTGAAGAACTATAGGTTGCAAGAGGGACCTGTTGATCAGAACCTGAAAGTGTATGACCTCATAGTTGAGAGAGGAGAATGGAACCTGCAATCATTGGAAGGAAAAATTCCAGGGGAAATAATTGACAGAATTAGACAGCTACAAGCCCCCACAGAGGAGGATGGCAAAAATATTGTAAGATGGAAATGGACTAAAGATGGAGACCATACCACTACCTCTGCATATAAGTGGCTACAGCAAAGCGATGGAAGTCAGTATTAGAAGTTGCGGCAGAAAATGTGGAAATTACAAGTACCTGAAAGAGTCAAGCTTTTCATGTGGCAGACAAAACACAAGAGACTTCCAACTCGATGGGATGGAGGACAAGGTTACTGTACTGTTTGTAATCTGGAGGGAGAATCTCATATACATGTGTTGCGAGATTGTCGAGTTGCTAAGAATCTGCGGAAAAGACTAGTGGCTGAGACAAGGAGAATTTTTTGCCTGTGGATCGGACGATTGATTGGATCAGAATCTGACTAGGACCGCGAAAAAGCAGGAAGAGATAAATTGGCAGGAGTTATTTGCGACTGGCTGGTGGCATCTCTGGAAATGGTGATGTAGATTGGAGAATGCCGTGGAATCCACCAGAAGTAGGGAAACAATATTTGGAAAACTTCAGGAAAAAAATGGACGCCAGAGCAACTAAGGGAGCAGGAAAGAGGTTATCTTTGCAGGAAGGAAACCTCCCCATGGGGAATGGTGCAAATTAAACACTGACGGATCGAAAGAAGGGGGAGGAAGAGCTAATTAGAGGTAATTGTGGTGAACGGTTGTGTGGTTATGCTTGGAAGCTGAATGTCAAAGATGTGGAAAGCACTGAAGTATGGGGCATCATAGAAGGCGCAAGATTATGCTGGAACATTGGTTTACGTAAAATTGAAGTGGAATGTGACGCAAAGCCAGTGGTGGATGATATTACCAGTGGAGGATTAATTCAGGGGAATCAATTACAGTCCAGATTGCAGGTGCTGTTTACTCATATCTACAGAGAGAGTAATAGATGTGCTGATAAGCTAGTTTCAATGAGTAGACAAATGAATATGTGGATTTATAACAAATTTGTGCAGATTTGAAGGAGAGCTTTAAACACCTCTAGATAATCTTCGAAGGTCAAATAAATATTCGAGCAAAGGTATTGGTTGAGAAAACTTAAGAGAGTGGAGTGGGAGAGGATTAGAGGAGATTTCAAATTCTGACTACCATTTACAGACATTTAATGTATCTTCCAACGAACATTTATTTTCTAATATCAAACTTCCCACTTTCCTCTGCCGCTTGCTTAGCTCCAAGCTTCCAACATACTAGTAATGATATTCGGATCAAACCATCTTAGTCATAAGGCAAGAAGAAGGAAAACATATTTGCAACATTTTTCCTGGTGACAAAGATAGGTTAGTTTGGTTTCGGGCAAAGGGAGTAGAAGCTATTAGTGGTAAAAATTTCAGAACTTCTAGAGGGGAGAGAGAAAGATTTCTATGTGCATCTATTGGTTAAAATGATATTCTGGCTCTATTTATAAATCACTTCTAACATGTTTCACACAAACTAAAAAAAATTTTAAATTTTATTAATTTTTATTTAGAATTCAATAACTTTTCAACTTTAACCCTATCTAATATATATTATATCTCATGTAAACAAAGTCAATACAATAATAAATAGAGGATAAAATTATATATTTATAAAAAAAATTTCTCTCAGTGCTTTATAAATAGGATAAAAAAATATTTTATTTCTCTATTCTATAAATAAGACCAAAAGAATAACTTCCTATGATCATGTGTAGGTCTTTCAATTTTTCAATGCCCAGAAGCTCGTTGTGTTCGAATGCTTGACCAATATAAATGCATACATACTGGAATGTTGCGTTGGCGAAAGAGCTCTAAGAACATATCAGATTTAGATGAATGATTGACGTCACGTAATATATGCAGGATTACTTTCCCATGCATGCGTAGTATGCATTGCTGGAAGCTTGAGAAATGACTGCGACTCAATAAATGAAAATATTTTAGTGTCTACTATTAAATCTATTTTATGTTTGGCCATATTATATACTACTTCCAATTTTAATTATAAGACCTCGTTTATAGTCTACAAACAAGATTTTAGGATTAGGACAGGAGGCAATAGTATTTTATTATTTCTCACTCAAGCTACTATCAGTTAGTCATATTAACTCTTTTGGCCAAATGGAGACTCATGTAACTATTCACTTTCTTGGAATGTGACCAATTTAACATCAGCTGTTCTACTGAGACTAATATTTTTTCACTCATCAAGTTCATAATAACTGGCACAGATTTTAAATATTCAAAATACATTACAAACGCCCTAGAATGCCCCTTATACAGAGACAAAAATGTTCAGGCCGTGGCTTCTTCCTTCGGCTTCTTCAGGAGGTGGAAAAGCCCATTTGTCAATGCAGCTTTGGATGTCAAAGATGCTCCCAACAGATTCAGAGCCTAAACCAAGTGAAATAATTCAAGTCACAGTTACATCTTCAAGAGTTAATGGAAGTGAAATTGATAAGTTTTGCTTTATCTCTGTACATGTTCTTCTAAGATTACTCAATAAACAATCATTTTTTCCAGAGATCAGTTAAGGGGTAGATTTTTACCTCATTCGGACCAATTTTCACCTCATGCTGCTCCAAATCATTCAGAGGGGTATTCAATTTTTGCAGAAACGAAATGCTTGAAGCACAAGTCAATGGCGTGACTTGAAGATCATCCGTTACAGCAAAAAGTGCTGGTCTCTTCACAAATCCCACAGTAAGTCCTGTCCTTTCATCCGCACATCTAGGGTCAACCATAGATATTTCAGATGCGTCCGCTATCTGGTGGCGCTCCTTTGAAATTACCCCATTTTTGTTCGCATAACACATCATATTTCGGATCACACCAGTACCATACCAGTAAGTAGGAGTTTTTTCTTCCTGGAGCATTAATGGCTGCCTTATACAACCATATTGAGGAGCCACCTTCAGATCCAGTAAAGGAGTGTATGGAGAGCTATAATTGTTACTCCAACTTGTGTACCATGTGCTCAGACCCTTGACACTATTGTAAAGATTATGCATAGATCCCAGTTTAAAATCATTGCCTCCTAAAATCTTGAGAATAGCCCCAAGAGGCATGGCGAGGAAGCTGAATAGAAAATCAGCGAAATCTCCCTCTGCTTCAGCATAGAGGATTTTGTTCCTCGACTTGCTCGACGTTACCTTCAGCATTAATGAGGAATCATTCCCATGCACACCGAAAAAGGACATGGTGGGGTTAGATGCCCGTCCGAACTGTGATGGAGCTAGTATCGGTCTGAAAGAGGACACAGGGTCAGATCCACCATCTTCCCAAGTCAAGAATACGTCACTGAGAGGAGATTTCGAGATCAAGGCCCGCTTCATCAAGTCCATAATCTAAAACATACACTTGTATGTATTAATCATCAAATTCAATCAAGTTACTTTGAAGCCTGGTTAGAAACTTTACATACCTGGTTTAAGCCAACGTTTGGGGCGACTTCGGTGAGCTTAGTGAGGTCTGTATGGCCACGTTGGACAAGATAATGAACAGTGTTTCCTGGAAAGTTCTCAAGAACCCTTAAATCATCAAAGATCAAATACATAGTGTCCCCTCTAACAAAAACACCATCTTCTCCTTTGGAATTATTTTCCTCCCCCTCCAACTTCATCTCCTTGTCCATCAGTTTCCCACATGAGCAGCTTACTCCCGCAAAAGTACTCAGCAGTGTCCGGTTACCCCCTCCACAGGAGCCACACATCATATACTTGGTGGGCTCTGTGTCATCCACGTTAAATTTTAGTTTCTGGCAAAGCTTTTCGCACGGGTTACGCGGCCACAACAACATTTTCTTGCAGGTTCCATTCCAAAAAACCTGTTCACGCACAAATTTCGATTCATTCATAGAATTTTGTTCTCTTAAAAAATGGGACATTCAATCGCAATATTTTACGCACCTGAGTGTCGAAATTTTGGACACTTTGGTAGAGGTTGTTAATGCAGCCCACCTCTATTGGTTGTTGCTTTTGCTTGTTGGAAAGAAGCCGAATGATGGTTCCCAAAGGAAGGGTTAAGAAACTGAGGAGAGCGTTCACGAAATCTCCACTTGCTTCGGCCACAACCACTCTGTTTCTTTCTCTGTCCACGAGAAGTCTCAAAGGAGATGATGGGTCTTGCATGGAAGCCATAGTTCAGTGACAAGCGTGAAATCAGATATAGGAAGTTCTGATTTCTCACAAAGGATTTTGCTTTGACGATGCAATTAGCTAGCTGTACCCAAAGGCATTGTGATTAATAGTGCTGGGAAAATGTCAAGAGAAAAAGGAAATGACGAAGCAGCTTCGTGGAGACAAGTTTTTCTGGCGTTTTGCCATGGGGGAGATAAGTTAAAAGACTCAGGTCTGGTACGAATTTGTGAAACAGTGAGCTTCATCAGCTTCATGCTTGTGAGAAGTGACATGAAGGCGCGCGGGATGATCCTTCATTTCTAAGGAACTTGGTTTTTGTCCTTTTCTTACGCATCATCTGCCCAAAACATGGCCGAAAAATGCTTGCAAAATTACAAATTATTCTTTCTTTTTACCTTCATTCATCCCTCGGCAGACAAAAAAATGTTGGGTACGAAATTTATTTTCTATTAATTATATTTTCTCTATATCTTTTAAGTATATTGCATATTTCCCCATTCGTAGAAAAACAGACGCTATTTACCTATGCATTTGTGAAATTTGTAAAATAAAAATGAGTTTTCTGACTAATTTTTGTTTGTATAATATATTCTTCAACCTTGTAGTACACTCAAGTAAAAACTTCATATCGAAAAATCATTATACCATTTTAAATAATCAGACTAGTTTCAGTGCTCATCATCTTAATGAGCACCCTAAACTCATCAGGTCTAGATCGTCTATAGTTAATTTGAAAGATTCAAATTTAAAATCTTTAATTATTTATTTTTAAATAGAAAATAATATTTAAAAAAAATGATAGTTAAGAGATTATTTCTATTTTAAATTCTATACATATTAAAATAATTAGTTTAGACAAATAAAAAATAAAAAAAAATCAAATCTTGACCATCCAAATGAGATATAAACAATTCAAATCTGATAAGTTTAGGGTGTTTATCAAAAAGTGACGAGCAACAAAACTAGTTTCTTTAAAATCAATTAAAAGAAAAAGAAATAAAGAGATTCAAATATTCAATGGAGCCCCAAAGTTTCCTGATCTTTCATCTTTTTGTTTTCTGTACACCACTATGTTTTGTAAAGAGTGTCAGAAAGTATAATATTTCACATAGAATTTCAGAAACAGTCACAACTTCAAAGAATCCAAGTTCATATACTCAAAAATAATAATTGAACCGACTGATTTTGTTCTTGCATTTCAAACTCTCTGCTTCTTGCCTTTATTTCTCACACACAAACACATGAGCACACACGCACACACACACATATATGCATAGTTCTGGCCAAAAAAGAAAAAATGCGTGTATAATTTTGTGAAGCAAGCTGTAATAAGTAACAAATTTTCTTGAGGTCAGGTTGTTTCTACCAGAACAAGATTCTAGGAAATATCTGTTAGAAATTAAATTCCTAGCAGAACAATGTTTTTTTACCTCTTAAGAAAAATAAATACTTGTATCAACTTCTCGTCATAAAAACAGGGCATTTCTATCCGGTTATTCAAGCCCCTGTAGCCAAGGCTGGAGTGATTTTTTGTGAAGTGAACCTTTTTGGTAAAGCGAATTTTGGATTATAAATTGCTTAGCCGATAATGTTTCTTACCAAATTTTTTTCAACCATTTAAGTTTACAAAAACTGGAACGGATTTAAACACAAACATATCATATGTTTCAGAATTTCTAGTATGTCCCTTCTCTTAGCTTTAACCAGACACAAGATGTTCAGGTTGTGGCTTCTTCCTTCTGTTTCTTCACCAGGTAAAAAAGCCCATTCGTCAATGCAGCTTTGGATGTCAATGATGCTCCCAACAGATTCAGTGCCTGAGTCATGTCAAATATCACAGTCATGAACCAGTCTTTAATTCACCTAATAAACCAGTCTTTCAATAAATCATAAATCAGTCAAGAGTGGATACCTCAGTCTTGTGAATTGTCACCTTATGCTCTTCCAAATCGTTCAGAGGGACCTTCAATTTCTGCAGAAACGAAATGCTTGAAGTAGACGTCAATGGCGTGACTTGAAGATCATCCATCACGGCTAAAAGTGTTGGTCTGCTCACAAATCCCACAGCTTCTTTCCTTCCATCAGCAGATCTTGGGTCAAAAAGTTCCACTCTTGATGCGCAGTGTATCTTTTCCCTGTGATTCGAAATCAGTCCATTTCTGTTTCCATGATATATGTTATTTCGAACAATACCTGTGCCATAATAGTAACAAGGGCTTTCTTCTTCATGGACGTCCAATCTCTGCTTTTTACAGCCATATTGAGAAGCCACCTTCAGATCCAGTAATGGAGAGAATGGAGAGTGCGGAGAGCGATAACGTCCAAACCATGAAGGATTCAGACCCTTGACACTTTTATACAGATTATGCATAGATCCCAGATTGACATTGCCATCTAAAAGTTTGAGAGTAGATCCAAGAGGCATGGTGAGGAAGCTGAATAGAAAATCAGCGAAATCTTCCTCAGCCTCCGCAAACAGGATCTTGTTCTTTGACTTGCTCACTGTTATCTTCAGATTACATGAAGACTGAGTCTTCTTCACATTTTCTGAAGCTAGTCTAGGCGTGAAAGAGGACACTAGCTTGGATCCAGCAGCTTTCAAGAATACGTCAGTAAGAGGAGATGTGGAGACCAAGGCATGCTTCAACAACTCCATAATCTAAAACACACACAGGTTTATCTATAAGTACATCGATCATCAAGTTCACAGTTCAGCTAGAGATAGGAATAAAGACTGGTCTAGCCCTACAAGGCCGTCTTGTAGGGCTAACGGGCTTAAAAAGACTGGCTTTATAGGACTAAAATTTTAAAAATATCCCAATTTGTTAGGTCAGGCCCTTAAGCTAACGGCTTTAAGGCCAGCCTGAGAGCTTTCGGCCTGTTTAAGAAAAAAATACTATTTTTCATATTCCTCACATTTTTTATCAAAAAAATAAAAATAAACCAATTAAATTATTAATAAAAGACATGAATATGAATAAAATTAAGTCACAAATACAAAATATCATCATATATAAATATTCATCAACATCGAAGAACATCTAAAACATTTATTAACAAGATAACAATATCTAAAAGTTTCATCTATAGTGTAAATATGTAATAAACAAATACTATCATTAATCTTTTAAAACTTCATCATCACTATAATCAATTACCCTTCTTTATAAGTATACTTTTCTTTCATAACAAAAATATCCAGGTTTTCTTCTTTATAGAAATTTCACTTTTAAATTTTATAGTCTAACTATTATTTTACTTTAGTTTGAGAAATATTGTTGTTGAAACTCATAAATTTCTAATTCAAATTATAGAATCACAAGTTATATAAGTATAAAAATACTCTCTTATCAAGTATATAATTTAAAAATATCAACACATATAATATAAATCAAATCATTATTAAAATCCAAATCAACCCATTTTTTAAAAATTTAATTGGACAAATTATTAGCTAAAACTAAATAAATCAAACAATTCTATGAAATTTAATTTTAAAATGATAATAATAACTAAATATTTAAAATATCATTAATAATATAAAAATTAATAATATTAATTACACAAAACACTTTTTAAAAAAAATAAAAAAAATTATAAAAAGGCTTAAATAGGGTAACCCTTGGCCCTGCAGGGCCGGCCCTTTTAAGCCCTCGGCTCTACAGGATTTTCCATTTTAAGAAAAAATTTTCAAACCCGACCCTTATAATTTTCGGGTCTAAACATCGAGCTGGCCTATTTTTCCGGCTCTAAGTTCAACCAAGTTATTTTATCTATCTATATTTATACACAAACAATTCAATTACATAATTAAAATTTTATCTCTATTTTGATGTCAAACCAATCAGTATCAAAGTCACATTGAATGTGGGTTGAGCACGGCAGGACCACGTTGAGCAGTAACACTTTGCTACCGAGCATCTAACCCAACTGCGCAGCTATGCGTGTTCCTTAAATAAGAGTAATAATTTAATCTCTTCATTAATACAAACACAGTGAAGGCGACATAGTTACCTGGCTTAAGCCGACGCTTGGAGAGATTTCAGTGAGCTTGGTGAAGTCACTGTAGCCGAGTTGGACAAGTTGGTGAATAGTGTTACATGCAGAATTCTGAAGAACCGTTAGATCATCAAAGATCAAATACATCCTCTCGCCTCTAACAAAAACACCTCCTTTGGGATTATTATCTTCCTCCTCCACCACTTTCATCTCTTGGTCCATCAGTTTCCCACATGAGCAACTCGCTCCTGCAAAAGTACTTAGCCATTTATCACTAAGCTCTCTACAGGAACCACACATCAAATACTTGGTGGGATCTGTGTCGTCCACATTGAATCGTAGTTTCTGGCAAAGCTTCTCGCACGGATTACGTGGACATAGCAACATTTTCTTGCAGATTCCATTCCAAAAAACCTATTCATACACAAATCTTGCTTCATTCATTAAATTTGTATTCTTTTATAAAATCGGACATTCAATCGTAATGTTGTTACTGCACGTACCTCTGTGTTGAAATTTTGGACACTTTGGTAGAGGTTGTTGATGCAACCAACCTCTGCTGATGATCGATGGGTTTGCTTGTTGGACAGAAGGCGAATGATGGTTCCCAACGGAAGGGTTAAGAAACTGAGGAGAGCGTCAATGAAATCTCCACTTGCTTCGGCCACAACCACTTTGTTTATTTGTCTGTCTACGAAAAGTCTCAAATGAGATGATGACGGACCTTGCACGGAAGCCATAGTTCAGTCGCAAGCGAGAAATCTGATATGGGAAATTCTGATCTCACAAATGGAACTAATGAGCTCAGTCCAAAGGCGGTTGTGATTAATATTTAATAGCGCTGGGAAAATGGAAAAAAGAGAAACGAAAGGAAGAAGCAGCTTCCTGGGGACTAGCTTTTCTGTTGCTTTTTTCCATGGGGGAAAACAATTAAAAGGTGCCAGTCTTGTACGAACGGTTTGAAACAGTTTGCTTTAGGGTGTGTTTGGGTGACACCCCAAACCATGGTTTGGGGACCCAAACCATGGTTTGGGAAATAAATCACCCAAACACCCCCTTCAAAAACCAAAACCATGGTTTTGACTCCAAAACCATGGTTTTGGAAAAAGCAAA